AAAGATGAAATGATGCAGTTTGAGATTGCTAACCCCAGAAAATAAAAAGTAGAGCTTGTTTTTGTAGGCAGGTTACGAGATCGTATATATCTGCGGTTAATTATGGTAGTAAGGTTTTGTCGATTGGCATGCTTCTACCTTGGCTCGCAAGTTTGAAAAAAGATATAAAAAGCTGCTATGCAGGGCTAAACTATTTATTGCTTTTGTGCCTTCTGATGAGATGATATCTCCATCTGCACTATTTTTCATTTGGGTTTTAGACCTTCATATAATTCAACTCCCTACTTCATGACAATTTTCCTTGGGGTTTTGATCCTTCATAATAACATCAATTATTCGGGTTGCATCTTGTAGATCCTTCGTTAATATCAATTATTCGGGTTGAATTTTCTTTTGATTCAGTATTTTGTCCACCATGTTTGATGAGTTTTCCAACCACATCAGCAAATTATGGGAACAAACAGAGCTGAGCTGTCTTAATTTAATAGCAAACCCATCTTATTGGAGCCACAAATAGCTTACTTCAGTCATAAAAAACTTTTGGAAAAAAAAAGGTCATAAAAAACTTTAGAACATAAATCTGCAAACTATATAAAGAAATAATAAACAAGTGATCTGTCATAATCGACAACAGAAGACAAGTTGACTATATGTATATATATATATGCATTTATCTATATGTTGACTTAGTAAAATGAGTAATAGAACTTTATATTCCCCAGCTTTATGAAAAATAAAAACTTAAAGAGAGCAATGCAGCAAATATTTAACCATCTGTAAAGAAGATTACGTAAATGTATGAGTATAATTATGAATTTCTTACAAGTATTTTCACATAGTTGTTTGATTAAATGTACTAAATTATGCACACTGATATAGCCACATAAGTATAGCCCGGTCCAGAAGCTCCTTAACCAACAAACCACTCGCATTACTCGCGTGTCGACATGATTCAGCCGACATGCCCAAATCGACTTCCCTAGGGTCGATTCTGCCAAGAGCAATTAAGAAGCAGCAGAAATTGGTCTAGTCGACTCTTGCAAGTCGACTTCAATACATCGACTTTCACTAGTCGGCACCAATGAAGGAATAACAGCAAGAGTACAGCGCCCACACTTCCTGATACCCTAAGTCGACTTCCGACAGTCGACTGAACCAAGATGACCTCGCCACTAGGGATTAGTCAAGCGTAGCCTCCGAATCCTCGCATATCCACGAGTCGACATCCTATCTTTCGAAGTCGACCTCGCATACCTCGACTAACACAGATGTGATGACGACTCATCACACTTGCACCATACTTGAAGTTCCATATACCACAAAGGATAAGAAGGAATCTAGCGGTGACTCAGCACTAAGGGGAGACGAATCGACCGGGGCATTTTGGACCTTCTAGGTCCACCGATTGGGGTATTTTGGGTACTCTGCGTAAGTATTCACTCCTATATAAAGGAGATGAGGTAACCCTAAACCCTAACTCTCATTCATTCTCACTTTCCCTATAGCTGCTGCACAGCCCTTCTTCATCCCTTTGATACTGACTTGAGCGTCGGAGGCTTTCCGGCGTTGAGTTTTTTGCAGATATTCTTGCGGTCTAGAGACGATTTCAAGGCGGTTCAAGCAGGTCTGAACTCACAACCACCGGTTTACTCCGGATCCAGAAGTAGACCCATCATTTGGCGCCGTCTGTGGGGAGTTCTTAAAGGAAGGAAGAGCTTCACACCCAGTTCCGATCTGTTTGACAATGGCGGAGAAGGAGAGCTTGCAGAGGAACCTGAGCGAGGACTTCAGAGGGGCGTGGATGGACAAGAGGCCACCACCACTTCCCACTACCAAACACTCCATAGTTCAGATGACAGGAATACCGCAGTTCGTAGGACTTCCACCGCCCGGGCCGACGTTGGGCGGAGAGACGCCTGTTACTCCAACCGGCGTGAAGTTGCAGGTGTTGACCCAGATAGGGACAAGTCAAAACCCTAATCCAGGAGGGGAGAAGGAACTAACGGAGATGTCTCGGCGTGAAGGAAAACAGATACAGGAGATGCAGGACCAAATCCAACCCCAGGTCGAAGAGCAGACCTTGACGATGACGAGAAGTGAGATGCAGAAGATGATCGCTGAGGCTGTAGCGGCCCAGATGAAGCAAATGGCGCAGGTCGAGCAGCAGCCTCGAGTCGAGAACCCACCTCGAGTCGAGCAGCAGACCCGCGTTGAGTATCAGCCTCGAATTGAACAGCAGCCTCGTGTCGAGCAACAAGCCCAGTCGAACGTACAACAGAACAAGAGGGTGGACGAGGAAGAATCCTCCGTTCGAACTGTCAATCCGCAGGCGAGGGACGAGACGTTAGAGCAACTGCTGGCGCAGGTTCGCGACTTGCAAGCTCGAGTCGACGGGAGGAAGAGCAGGGGAACCAAAGAACACCCATTTGCATAGCAGATCCTAAGAGCCGATTTACCCAAAGGCTTCAGAGAGTTGAACATATGGTATGACGGAACCACAGATCCATCTCGACATTTGAGGAGTTTTGAGAATATGGCCGTGCTTCATCGTTACAGCGACCCAGTACAATGCCGCGCCTTCCTGACGACTTTGACGGGGTCGGCCCAAGACTGGTTCCATCAATTGCCAGCGGGGTTGATTCGGGACTTTGATGGGTTCAGCTCGAGTTTCCTTAACCAATTCGCAAGTGTGAGGGTGCAGGAGAAGTCTTACCTCTCGTTAATTAGCATGCAACAGAAGAAAGGCGAGTCATTGCGGGAGTATGTGGCGAGATTTACCAAGGCATGTGTCGAGTGCCCAACAGCGACAGAGGAAATTAAGTCGGGAGGGTTGACGAGAGGACTGCTGCCAGGATTGTGTAAGAACTCCTTAGCCAAACGACCTGGTAGGAGTTTTGACGATGTGCTGGGAAGATGTGCCAAATACATGAACGTCGAGGAGGCCGAGGTCGACTACTTGCAGAGCATGAAGATGGCTCAAACTGACAGTCGGGACGACAGGAAGGAAAAGAAGTCGACAGGAGATATGAGAGGGTCCCCGAGAGCTGATAGGGGTGAAGGCAGGTCTAGAGGATGGAGACCAACTCAATACACACCTCTGTCGGCTCCTCACGCGAGAATTTTGGAGGTTATGGAGAGGGAAATCCGCGACGATGTGGTAAGGTGGCCGCGGACGAGGAAAGATGGACCTTTGAATCCCAAAAGCAACCTATACTGTCGGTTCCACAAAGACTATGGGCACAACACAGACGACTGTCGACACTTAAAAGACGAGATTGAGAGGTTGATAAAGGCGGGTCACCTGAAGGAGTTTATATATAAGGATCGAGAGAGGACAAGTAGGAGACGAGAACGAAGTAAGAGCCCTCGCAAGAGGGCAAGATCACCAGAAAAGGAAGAACTCCCACCGAAAAGAGGAGTCATTAACATGATCTTTGGAGGGTCGACTGATGGAGACTCGAATCGAGCAAGGAAGGCCTATGCTCGGGGCCGATATGCGAAAGTCGAGGTGCAACAAGTCGAGGAAAGCGGACCAGTAATGAATTTCGGACCGGCAGATATGGGTGAGGTCGAGAGGCCGCATAATGATGCCCTAATGATAACGGCGCAGATATCGGGGTACGAAGTGCAAAGGGTGTTTGTCGACACTGGGAGTTCTGTGAACGTAATTTTCTATGACTGCCTCAGAAGGATGGAGCTTGACATTGAACTTACGCCCCTACATACGTCACTCTTCGGATTCAATGGTTCGGAAGTCGCTCCCCTAGGAGAAACAATGCTCGCTGTCGTCCTAGGGGAGGGTGACCTAAGGAAAGTCAAAATGGTGAGATTTGTCGTGGTTGATGTCGAGTCGGCTTATAACGTGATTCTGGGGAGACCAGCGCTCAACGCATTTCAAGCAGTTGTGTCAACCTATCACATGAAGCTGAAGTTTCCAGTAGGAGATCGAGTGGGAGAGGCTCGAGGAGATCAAAAGTTGTCGAGAACATGCTACCAAATCGCAGTCAAAACCAATCAGCGTACCGAAATCAGAGAAGGCAAAAAACCAATGACGAGCGAGAAAAGGCCGAGGGGGAGTGACCTCGAGCCTCACGAAGAATTGATGGAGATTCAAATTGGGGAGTCGAAAGAACAAACCACCAAAGTCGGGAGAGAATTAGAAGACGAATTGCGAGAACAGTTGGTGGGGTTGTTGAAAGAATTCAGGGACATATTCGCCTTTTCACCTGAAGAACTAACCGGAATCGACCCAGAAGTGATGGAGCACAAACTCAACGTTGACCCCCTCAGAAAACCTGTGAAGCAGCGACTCAGGCACCACGGCGCTGAAATCGATAGAGCAATCGAAGTCGAGGTGGATAAGTTGCTAAAAGCCAAACATATCAAGGAGATCCAATTCCCCGAATGGATATCTAACACAGTTATGGTGAGGAAGGCATTGAACAAATGGCGTATGTGTATCGACTTTCGCGACTTAAACCTGGCTTGTCCTAAAGATCATTATCCTTTGCCGAGAATCGACCAGCTAGTCGACTCCACGGCCGGTTGCGAGTTGCTGAGCATGATGGACGCATCTCAGGGATATCATCAAATCCCTCTGGCTCCGGAAGATCAGAGTAAAGTAAGTTTCGTGACGAGTAAGGGGACGTATTGTTACGTTGTCATGCCCTTTGGCCTCAAAAATGCAGGAGCAACCTACCAGCGATTGATGGATCGAATGTTCAAACCCCAGATTGGTCGAAACATGGAGGTATACGTTGACGATATCCTGGTGAAAAGCAAATCCTCGACTTCACACCCAGACGACTTAAGGGAAACCTTCAACACCCTTAGGGCGTTTGGGATGAAGTTGAACCCGAGCAAATGCGCCTTTGGAGTGAAAGCAGGACGATTCTTGGGATATGTTGTCACAGAACGAGGAATCGAGGTAAACGGAGACAAGGTGAAAGCCATACTCGACATGGCTCCACCGCGAAACGTCAGAGAGGTCCAAGTGCTGACAGGAAGGATCGCAGGCTTGAGCAGATTCATCGCTCGGGCAGCCGAGAAGAGTTTTCCTTTTTTTAAACTACTCAAGAAAAAGACGGTTTTCAAATGGAGTGACGAGGCACAGATGGCCTTCGAGAAGTTGAAAGAGTTCCTGGGCGAACTGCCCTTGCTGACCAAACCAGAACCAGGTGACGAGTTGATTCTGTATATCTCAGTAGGAGAGTTCGCTTTGAGTTCAGTGTTGCTGCGGGAAGATGGAAGTTCCCAACAGCCTATTTATTACACAAGCCGAGTACTCCAAGGTGCCGAGACGAGATATCCGGAAGTCGAGAAAGCCGCCTTGACACTTGTTATAACAGCCAGAAAGCTGAGGCCTTACTTTTTGAATCATACGATTGTGGTGAGAACGAACTTTCAGTTGGGAGAAACGCTGGGTCGACCTACTGTCTCAGGTCGACTCGTAAAGTGGGCAGTTGAGCTAAGCGAATATTCTATCAAGTACGAGCCGAGGCGAGCCATTAAAGCCCAGGCTCTAGCTGATTTCATTCAAGAGGGAACCAAAGGGGAAGAAAGGAGATGGACAATGCATGT